TAACAGTAAGCAATAGAAACAGAATATAAAATCAATAAATTCACTGAATTATGAATCATAACATACACTATATTGTCAAAAGTATTGGGACACCTGCCTTTACACACACATGAACTTTAATGACATCCCATTCTTAATACATAGGCTTTAATATGGAGTTGGCCCAACCTTTGCAGCTATAACAGCTTCAGCTCTTCTGGGAAGGCTGTCCACAAGGTTTAGGAGTGTGTTTCTCTCACCATTCTTCCAGGAGAGCATTTGTGAGGTCAGGCACTGATGTTGGATGAGAAGGCCAGGCTTGCAGTCTCCACTCTGATTCATCCCAAAGATGTTTTATCGGGTTGAGGTCAGGGCTCTGTGCAGGCCAGTCAAGTTCCTCTATATCAGACTCGCTCCTCCATGTCCTTATGGACCTTGCTTTGTGCACTGGTGCGCAGTCATGTTGGAACAGGAAGGGGCCATCCCCAAACTGTTCCCACAAAGTTGGGAGCATGAATCAAGATTTACATGTATTTATACAAAGATATACGAAAATAAACCAAAATGCTTAGAAGTGAGTACTTTTTCGAGATTTGCGTCTGCAGTATAAATCACTCTCACTCTTCACTGCTGGAAGATTGTTCATTTATTTGTTTGACAGTTGTGTTTAGACAAAACAATGTAGTGGCCACTAGCCTGTGTAGCAATTGGGGTTGAGGGTCTGGCTCAAGGGCCCAATGGTGAAACCACCTTCCAATCATAGGCACAGTTTCCCAATCAGCTGAGCTGCACACTGCAGCTGGCAAAGACAGCTACAATCTGGTCTTACTTCATGCCTGAAACAATCTCATCGAACCACAATGAACTCCAATGCAACTTCAACTTGTCTGACAGAACCTCGTTCTCTAAATTTACTCAGAAGGTTTGGGTTAGAGTTACTCTGAAGGTTTGGGTTAGAGTTACTCTGAAGGTTTGGGTTAGAGTTACTCTGAAGGTTTGACCAGGGGGATAATTGATACTTTATTGTCTCCTTGGGGAAATTGTTTTTACGCCTCCCTCAGCTTGCTCTTTGTAGAGTAAGTTATCTGCAAAGGGCAGCCACCCATAGTAGCACCCAGGGAGCTGGGGGTTAAGGGCTTTGCTCAAGGACCCACAGACATACTGAGGCTGGGTTTGAACCAGCGACTTTCTGATTACAAGCACACAGGTTTAGCCCACTGAGCCGCACGCTGCTGTGGTTTTCATGTGACCCAATTATGACCCCCTCAAAGGGGAATCCAGTCTCTGCACTGCCTCAAGTCACCTATCCACAATGTTTGCAGGTCCCTACCACTGAGTCATTGGGCCATTGGGTCAGTAGCTGTTACTGTTGCAGCTGTGGACTTTGGAAGATCTAAAGGTGGTTGTATACAAAACCAAATCAATCATGTTGATGAAAACAATCTGTCGCATACATAAAACGATCCTGCCACCTTGTTCTATGTATGTCACGCCACAACCGCAGAGGGTGCAGAATGATTTTGATGCAGCAGACCCACATAGAGAGAGAAACGTTTACGACATTTACTGTTGACACACATATTCATGTACACCCTTTATAGAGCCGGTAACTGCATAGTTAGTCCTGCTGACCAACCCTGCGGCATCACATTTTGTCAGTCAATTGGGGACAGTGTTGTCCCTTCTCTTGGCAGTGGACAATATTGGTCAATTGAGAGGTTGTTCACACCAGCCGTCTAACACTTTACCAAGTGGCACCTTGGTAGGTGGACACATAAAACTACACTGTTCCTGAGAGCTCCACGTGAAGCCAGCTCTGGTAATATAGTTACTATGTTCAACTGCATGTAAGCACTCACATGCTTCTCCAGTCAATGGCAATATAGAACGCAGTATGTTTTGTTTGTTAAGTAACACTGTCTTTATTTACTGTTGCTACATAGCTGAAGATCAGATCCATTTCCTGCAGAAATGCCAATTATTCTAACACAGGGTTAAAATGCAGATCATGTGGTTCTGTTGGCCTCATCAGACCGTGACCTTCGGCTCTCACTGGAGCAGTTTGCAGCCGAGTGTGAAGCGGCAGGGAGTGCTCTCTCTGGGTTGGGGAGGGGGTCCTCCCCCAAGTGGAGGAGTTTAAGTATCTCTGAGTCTTGTTCACGAATGAGGGAAGGATGGAGCGGGAGATCGACAGGTGGATCGGTGCGGCGTCAGCAGTGATGCGGGCGCTGCATCGGTCTGTCATGGTGAAGAAGGAGCTGAGCCAAAAGGCAAAGCTCTCGATTTACCAGTCAATCTGCGTTCCCACCCTCACCTATGGTCACGAGCTGTGGGTAGTGACAGAAAGAACGAGGTCGTGAATACAGGCGGCCGAAATGGGTTTCCTCCGCAGGGTGGCTAAGCTCTACCTTAGAGATAGGGTGAGGAGCTCAGTCATTCAGGAGGGACTCAGAGTAGAGCCGCTGCTCCTCCGCATTGAGAGGAGCCAGATGAGGTGGCTCGGGCATCTGCTTAGGATGCCTCCTGGACGCCTCCCTGGTGAGGTGTTTCAGGCATGTCCCACTGGGAGGAGGCCCCGGGGAAGACCCAGGACACGCTGGAGGGACTATGTCTCCTGGCTGGTCTGGGAACGCCTCGGGATTCCCCTGGAAGTGTTGGACTAAGTGGCTGCGGAGAGGGAAGTCTGGGTTCCCCTGCTTAGACTGCTGCCTCTGCGACCCGACCTGGAAAAGCGGTAGATAATGGATGGATGGATGGATGGATGTAACACAAGAGTCGTAAACTCAAAAACCCTGACCAGAGCTTCACCTCATTTTCCACTACAGTTTTTGTTTTTTAGCCAAAAACATTGCATCATTTTTATACCCTTTGGAAGATGATTGGGCCATCTGTGAGCTAGCCTTCATAAAGAATTAAAAACATGTAAAGAATTATATGTAACATTATCATACTTTGAGACCCGATTACTAAAGGGTTACTAAAGGGTTAACTCACTTATGTTGTTTGTTTTTCCACAGAAAAACAGACTGATAGATGTTGTCAGTTTTCAGTTTACAGTTTACGCAGAATTTATCTGATTATTCAGCTACTAATACAATAAAACCCACCCATTCAAAAACGGGGGGGGGGGGGGGCTTATTTTATAATCCAAGCATAACGGGATTTAGTGCATTTAGTTTATGCAGAAGAACAAACACAATTTAAGGAATGGTGCCCTTGCTCCAATTTGCAAATGCAGGGTGAGTGAAGATGGAGCGCTTGTAGGGGAACCGACGGGCAGCTTGCAGCCTGATACTGCGACGTTAATCGCCATCGATCTGGCGGCTTCTCTGAATGTGACCTAGTTCTCATCAGCAGCGCCTCTCACGTCTTAGTTTGGAATTACCTTGAGTGTCCTGTCCAGATCATTAGAGCATAACGAGCAAAACTAACCAGAGAGAAGAGAACCAAATAACTGAAAAACCAGGTTACACGGTTAAAGTAGCTGGAAGAGTGTTGTTCCTCCACCCATACATGCAGAGGCCTGGTGTCTCACCACGTGTGGATCTTGGCTCATTAGCATGCTGAGCGTGGTGGACACGTGACGCCACATTCCCTGCTAGGGTGGCCACCCTTTTTGTTGATGAACACAGTATAAAGAGAATAAAAGCGGTTGTTCTCACGCCAAGGGACAATGATTTAGCTAAAGCTAATGCAGTAACAAAGAAGGTTACCGACTGTTAGCAATGTTTGCAGGCTTGACAGACAAGAAAGGGGGGGGGGGTGTTCAGCTGACTGTGCCCAGCGTAAATGGCCCTGCCGCAATTCCGACTCAAGAATATTGTGCAAGTCAGTGTCCGCAATGAGTAGCTGCATGAGAGGTAGAGTAAGATGAGCGTGGCCTGTCCACCATCTGGATGCATATAGGAAGCACCAATGGCGATGAGGGCATCAACATGAGTTGACCCAGAAGTCCACGACTGTGCAAACAAAATTACCGTGGTGAAAAGACGCAACTCACAGCTGCCTGCCCCTTTAAGATTCCACGGCTGGTGCTCTTTTGACAAGGCGTTTTGCAGCAAATTCAGCAGCCCCCTGACACCTCCCCCTCTGTTTAACTAAGGGACACCTTACTCTACATGGACAGTTCGCTCTTGTGCTGCGTGGGCTGTTGGCTGACTTAGAGGTGTGAAATAGAGGTAACAAGGTACCTTCCGGAAACTGACTGCGGCTTTGATGTTATGCATGTGCTGAAGAGGATGAATACAGTGATCATTCAGTGTAATATCTTAAACTATTAGTGGTACATGTTAAGTAATCTAAAACCTTAAGAAACCTCTTGTAAACTTAAAGAGGAAATTCGTATTTTGAGCATGCTACGCTGGCTAGGATTGAGGAAGTGTCAAGCACAAATGTGGTGCTTCCATAAGCCATTATCATAATTATATATACAAACAATAAAAAATGGCACTTCAGTCTGTTCCAGATAGATGGCTGTTTGGTATGGTGGCGTTCCCTATAAAGGAAATTCAGAAATGGTTTCTCCAGCATGAGAATGCCACAGGATAAGGCGGTGAGGTGATGATTGAGCTGACCATTCACTCCTAGGCATCTGAACCTATGGGCCGAACGAGAAAGCTTTTCATGTTTAGCAGTTGTGGGGCAGGGTTTTAAATAAAGGAACTAAATTACCTCTAATAAAATGGGAAGTTAAATACATATCGTGCACTTGTGTCAAAAACCAGTCATATCCTGTTTTCAATTGAAAGGAAGCTGCAGGTCCATTGGAAATGCAGGTGTCAAAGATTTCAGTTTTAGATGATCACCCAGTTCGTTTTCACTTGGAAACCCGTCTTTGATGTTGGTTATAGGCGATTTCCCACCTCTGGAACCTTTTTCAGTCACGAGGAACTTCTGTCGTGTTCACGCCGCAGGAACTCGGCCCGATTGAATTGTTATTGTAAGTCCCTGCTCTGGTGTAGGTTCTGTGGCGTCGGGCGGACCGAGGCATCGCGGGAGCAGAGAGAGACACGGATACTCGCTTGCCAGGGAAGAACATGCTCTTTATTGGTAATCCTGAAAAGGACTACATCAGGCACCCACAGAGCACCGGACCAGTTACACACAGGATACACAAGGTTGTTACACACGCGACAATAAGGAAATATAACCATTAACATTAAACAACAATAACAAGGGCTAATTACAGCTGCATGCGGCTCATGCTGAACCATGCGAACCTCCAGTGCTACCTTTGTACTCGATCAAGAATGACTCAACATGGTGGTTTGACGTCTGTCTTAAAATGGATTTTAAGGTCACCTTGCGGGTGGATCTTCCTATTGTCCATGGAGATGGTGCTGTTCGGGTTGCTGCCATCGATCTGGTCAGCTGTGAGGTCGGTTTGGGAAATCTCCCCAGTCCGGCAGAAGGCAACCCTATTCCAGATCAGTAGGTAGGCCTTGCGGAGCTTTCGGATCTTGAAAGCGTACACGATAGGGTTGACAGCGGAGTTGGCGTGAGACAGGAGGATCCCCGTGTGTATGAGCCAGGAGTAATGTTCATTAACTTTTCCGAAGAGGGTCACGCAGTTCATGATGTGCAGGGGGAGCCAGCTGATGGCAAACAGGGCCAGAACCAGCGCCAGTGACTTGGCCAGCTTCTGCTCCTTCATGTAGAAGGTCTGGGACTCCTTTTGCCGCAGGTGCTTCTTAATGTTGTAGAAGACTAGCAAGTAGAGGATGGTCATGAGAAGCAGAGGCATCAGGATCCACACGAAAAAGTTGAAGTACACCATGTACTCCATGGACATGACTGTCACAAATGTGCAGTTGATGGTGGAGTTGGGGGAGTGGAGTGGATCTCTGTTATTCCATCCCAGGAGCGGAGTAAAGCCAATCAAACAAGCCAAGACCCAGGATGCGGTCACCGCAGCCCAGGTGCGTGACTGGGTAGCGAACCTCTTGTACCTGCAAAAGACAGATTTGTTTGATGTATTTTACGTATGCCCCAGGGATTTGTGGGTGCTGGAATTTTAAATCTGCATGGATATGGCGTTTGGGGGAATAATTTTTGTGTGCAAGTGAAAATCTTGTTTAGATTTATATATTATATGTAATGTCATTTTTCTTCACAACCTTTATAGAAACGGGTGAAATTTTAGGCTGAAAAACTACTACTACTACTACTGATAATAATAATAATAATAATAATAATAATAATAATTGTTAGTATTAGTAATAACAACAACCATAACAATAATAATAATAATAATAATAAAGCATAATATTATTGTTATTATTATTGTCAACATTGGTATAAGAGATTTTATTTTATTTTCTTAAAAGATTCAATTATGGAAACATCTTTAAATTGCTTATGCATTAAATCAAAACTGAACAAACAAAAAAAAAAATAGGTCAAAGAGAGTGAACAGTTATTTGACTGAGGCTGTAACTTCTGACTTCGACGTCCTTCCCTTCGACATGAATGTGACACAGTAGTTATGAAACTTGTGATCTGAAGTTGCTGAGGTCAAATCAAATACAGTGCATTCATTTTACATTGAATTTAGGCAGCATTCTCAGAAAATGACTTTAATAGAATATAGGAGCAAGCAGAAATATTTATTGGGAGACTCCTGTTAAGGATATATTTCTGTTTTTATGCAAAGTGGTGCAACGTTTTGTTTTGAGAAAGCAGGGTTAGTCCGTTACTGGAAAAACATAAGGGTTAAGGGTCCGGCCCAAAACTGGCTATAGATGTAGATAATATACAGATCATGGGATACAGATCATGGGTAACAGGTGGCCGCAGAGATTTACTGGTACCAGGACCTGGAGGCCACTGCTCACCTGAAGGCGATCTGCACACGCAGGTACCGGTCCACGGCGATTGCCAGCAAGGCCAGGACGGAGCTCTGGGTCAGAACCAGCACCAAGCAGGAGATGAACAGACATCCATCGAAGGAGATCTGCAGGCCGTCGTCCAGCACCAAGGCCATGGGGATGGCGATGGCGCCCACTAGGAAGTCTGCCGCTGCCAGCGACACCACAAAGCAGAAGGTGGGCTGCTGCAGGGAGCGGGTCAGCTTCACGCCCCAGATCACCAGCACGTTGCCCACGCAGCAGAGAAGCGCCACCAGCAGCTCCAGCATGGTGTAGAGCACCTCCATTCTGGGAGAGAGACGCAGGAGCCGGGCGGCTCGTACACAGCTGAGCAGGAAGTGGCCTGGGCCAAGCTTGTCTCTGCTGGGGAAAAGGTGACGAGAATTCGTTTCCTCAGTGCAGCAGCCTTCTGCAAGAGGAACAAGAACAAATGCCCTCCGTCAGCAGCTTCTGCAGAAAGATGCTGTTCCCCGTACCATCTTTCACATGTGCGCCTATGCAGCCTGGCCAGTTGTTTCTTATGTGGGCTGGAGATAACCATCTGCTTCTTATCTCTACAGGGTCGGGGGCAGGGGGCGAGGGGCAGAAAACATCCGCCGGTGTAGGGCTACAACAAAACCCTTACACAGTGCAGTAAGAAAGTACTCGCTCCGTAACACTTAGCACTTAATTGTTTCAGATCTCCAAACAAATTTCGGATAATACACAGTTTTTAAATGACAAAGTACTAGTCACTCAATCAACCAATGACCCAAATATAAATGACAATGGGTTAAACTGCACTACACAACCTAGCTTGATTGCTGCCAGCCCTATTGAATCCTATTGTCCCCCCCAAACACCTGTCCACTCCCCTGTGACTATGGCATAAGAATTTCACTGTCTTCCTCTGAATGCACATGAAAATGAGTCTTGAAATTTGGTCTAAACAGAAACTGAAAACAGCACGATAGCTGAAATGAGGATTGGCCTGTTCGGAGGAGCAATGCAGCTGGTGCTCATATGGGTCCTGCCATTCGCCGTCGCATTTTGCATGTCCTGAGAATCATTAATCTGCAGTGCAGGGCTGTGTTTTGCATGCAGTGATGGCTCAGTGCATTTATGAGCGTGCTTGCAAGATTGTTTCTGAGTGAGCTGTATGGGACCATCCTGCCAAATGTGGGACAGGTAACACTAGGATATAAATGTATATATAAAACAGGACTTTATGGTGAAGTTTGTCCTACAAAATCACTTAAATCCTCTGGAGCTTCACTAGTCCCCTGGGCTGATGATTAATTTACACAACCCGTGAAGGGGGAAGTGTCAAAATGTGCAACAAATCCTGAATGAATAACAAGTGTTTCTCTCATGGCTATTTGTTATTCAGTTTACAGAATGCATCTTTCGTCAGATCTTGGTGTTCGCAAATGGTGGAAAACCCTTTCCCCCTCTGCCCTGGAATCGTAATATTGAACCCAAAAGCTATATACTACACCTTCTTGTTCATTCACCATCATTGCCCATTTGTGCAGCTGTATTTTTAAATGGACTTATCTCCATGTCGCAATATGTCATGTTTAAAATATCTTACATATTTATATTCTTTTTCTTGCACATGACCATTTCACATGATAGGAATTTCTTGTAGTGTGTGACCTCATGCATCAGAAAGCTGAAGATGACAATACAGATACTATGACTCTGACTAGAACTTGATATTCTAACCTAAGATGGGCACCAATGGTACAATTTCAGAACATGGGAAATGAACAAGGAACCCATCAGGCAATCATTTGAGTCTGCAAGCCATCTGCAGCGTGTGGCTCAGTGGGCTAAGCCTGTGCACATGTAATCAGATGGTTGCCGGTTTAAAGCCAGCCTCAGCGCGTCTGCGGGTCCTTGAGCAAGGCCCTTAACCCCCCGCCCCCTGGGTGCCGCTACGGGTGGCTGCCCTTCACAGACAACTTACTCTACAAAAGCAAAATGAGGGCAGTGTAAAGACAATTTCCCCACAAGGATTAATGAAGTGATTATTATTACCGTAGTGCTATCAACTTCCAAGCAACCGTCCATCATCCAAAACCCATTTTTTATTAATATGTCTGCATTTTCTTAGGAGTTTTGGTAACACTTTACTTGAGGTGGAACAAGTAACTTTGTAACTTGGTTACTACTGAAGTACAAATCATGAACCAATACAGTCACTACATGGGATACACGACTGATTAATGATGAATGAACATAGGATCAGCACGTATCTAATGGTTTCTGGTTAATTAAAACATTAAGTAAGAATGTACTACTGCATTATTTTCGCCTCCTCAAGTAAATCTTTACAGGCTTTGCATGATGTTTGAAGTAACCGGGTCAAGTAGTTAAATTATCACAAGAAAAAAGGCAACCATGTTTTTCTTATAAAAAATGTATTAAAAACATTCCCAGGAAACAGTGGGATATCAACAAACATCGGCGTACTGTGTGAAAACAAGAAAAAGGAATATTACAAAATCTGTACATTTTCTTCACGTGAAATGCAATACTTCCGACATAAACAAAAGGTCTACTTATAAAGTAGTTCTGAACTGACAATCCTGAGATTTGTAGATATTCTCGAAGGCACCTCACATCCCTCTCTGTCCGTCTGCTGGGCCAGAGGTTGATTTATGAGCCCCTGTTCGCTCTGGGATGGAAACTTTTTTTGCTTTCGAACGATGCTCTGCAAGGGTGCTGAGTCTAACGGCTTCACAGACTTACTGACACACGAATACAGTATTTCAGGGCAATGCTATTTTCCCGTTGTGATTCCTGATCTGCCCTAAGCCACCACGGCCTTATTCCCATCCATGCGGAGTCCCCTGAGGGTGTCCTCGGTGAACTTGTAGGTGAGCTTCCTCTTGACTTTGCAGATCTCCCCGGTACGGGAGTAGTTGCGGAGCGCACGCGCCATCTTCTGGTAGGTCATGGTCTTGCGGTTGCCTTTACGCCGGCCCCACATCTCGGCCAGACGCTCCTTGTTCTGGGAGGAGAACTGGAAGGTTCCGTTGCCCGACTGGACCCACCAGATGCAGCTGCGCATCTCTGGGTTCTGCAGCATCTCGTAGAGAAATTGGAAGAGGCGTTCTTTCTTCCGACCTGCCAGGAAAAGGAGCCAGATTTAAGAATGAGAGACACCTGAGACAACAGGGAAAAAGGTCGCTGAACAGTAGGAATTCCAGCGGCAGTGTTTACCACCATTCAAACCGTGTATTTGTGTGGGTCACAAGCAGTCACTACACTAAATATCGAATAAATGTCTTCCTTATTTAGGAAAACCTGAAGCAGCATGTTTTGCTAACCAGCTAGTTAACTACGACCTTCAGACACACAGAAGCATGAAACCAAATCACTCAACTTGCATTTACTGTAGCGGGTCGCCGGACATACCCGTGATGGATGTAAGGGGGGGAGCATTGCAAGTCTTCTTCCCTCGTCTCTCCACTCGGGGCGACGGGGGGTAGTCATGGCAACCGGAGCTGGTGGACTGGGAGTCGGAGTCGCTGCCGGGATTGGCATCGTAGATGAATTGGCACTGGCCCTGTGGGTCATCGACGCCGAAGACTGTTAACCGAAGCTTTGGAAAGAATCTTGTTTCCCAGCCGAAATAAAACCAGTGCTGCATTTTCAGCATTCTCAACCTGGTTTAACGTTTTGAACATTGAAGAGTAGCTTCTGGAAAGGTTTATAAATTTGGGTTTTAGTTTAAGGGGTGGTGTGTGGCTGAGTGGGTTAAGCTGCTCTGGTTCTAATAGGAAAGTTGCTGGTTCAAATCCCAATATTGACAGACTGATTTCACCACTGGACCCTTTATATAGGCTCTTGTACCTCAATAGATCCTGCCTGAGCCAGCTTTCTCAATAAATGTATGTCGATTTGGATAAAAGCTTCTACTGGATAAGCAAAGCAGCAATATCATCTGAGTTGTAATGAGAATTAGGTTCAGCTAAATAATCCAGTGACGGAAAGGCTTACCGGCTGAGAAGCAGAGGCTCGAACCCAGTGAGCGGACCCTTCCCAGGCATCACTCTTATCAGAAACCGGGGGGTGATAGTGCCACTCGTAGGCGAAGCACCCCGACCAGCTGTTCTCTGCATTGGCAAAGTGTTACAACGTCAGCAGTTAGACCTGTGAGGTTATCACCTACTGCATTATGGGTATTCCAAAGAGGATTGCATTTCTCTCACATATTTATATGAAATGCAAATCTATCAGCTTGTTGTACTTGTTTGCAATCCACTGGTTATATTCATAAGGCTTGGAAAAAATAATGGATTTCTTCAGGTTAACATATACAGTGCTCACAGAAATTCTTGGGACTCCCGCTTAATTCTTTAAAACTGTTACAAATGTATTGGTTTCATAACAAAAGTCCATTAACAAGCAATATATTTTCATACAGAACCAGCCAATGGATTTGACAGGCCAAGACGCCTACAAAGAGAGAGATAGTGTCTTATCTTATCACATGACCTGGTCACCTGACCTAAACGCAGTAGAGAGGGTTTTGGAGTTTGACCAGAAAGTGAAGGAAAAGTGGCCAATGAGTGCTAAGCATATATATGGGACCTCCTTCAGGACAGCTGGAGAAGCATCTCAGGAGGCCTCCTCGTGGAACTGGCGTAGAGGAGACAGTAGGGTCAGAAATTGGGGTTAAGGGCCTTGCTCAGGAGCCCAATGGTGGGATCACTCTGCCGACCTTCTGTCCTAATCTACAGAGTTGCCCCCCCCCCCAAAAAAAAATCTTTTGTTTAATGCTTTTTTGGTCAGTGCATGGCTCCATGTCTGTTACTTTATAGTTTTGCTGTCTTTATAATTATTTTTAATTGTAGAGAATGGTTCTAATAAACCTTTCATTCAGTTCTTGTCATTTTGCTATTAATTGCAATTGTACTCATTGGCTTCCAAAGAGATACCAAATACAAGTGTTTGGTGTTTTATATTATTGCAAAGGTGTTACTGATTAAACGTAATGCTTGTTAATTAACTTTTTAACTGAGAACAGTTCTCTTTGAACTATAACTTGGGTTTCAATATATTACTACTTGAAATGAAAGTTTCAGTTAAACCTACAACCTACTGATTGTTTTATTTATAAAAATGTGTGTAGACAAATGAATAAATTAATGATTTTTGTTATAAAACCAATAAATTTGCAATATTTTTGCTGCATTGACTAAGCATCCCAAGACTTCCTGTGTGCACCGTATGCCGGATGGGGCAATGATGTCACACTTTCTGGGTCGAGGGTTCAATGCCCACAGGCTATATGTGTGTGGTTTCTTCCCGGATCCCAGAATCATGCAGTTAGACGAGTTATTGTCTCTAAATCGCCCTCA